GAGCACAAGGAAGTAGCGCTCTCGACGCGGCCCAGGGACGGGGGCGGGGCCCCAGACGTCCAGGTGCAGGGTCTGCAGCGGCGCGGCGGTAGGGGGAAACGAGGAGGAGTGAGGGGCACGGCGAAGCCGACCCTCGACGCAGGGCGTGCAACGTGGGGCTGGGGAGGAGGGAAACGCGGGGAGAGAACCTGGGAGACCAAGGACAAGACCGTGCTGGGACATGTGACGCAGACGCGGGAGCTCAGGGTGACCTAGGCGGTGGTGCCAAAGGAGGGTTGGGTGAGTGAGGGACCGACAGGAGCAGGCAGCAGCAACCTGGGTGAGCGCTCCAGCCGGGGGGGTCACGGTGTCCAGAGTGAACAGGCCGGACACCGGGTCCCGAGGGAACGTGGACAGCGGGGCACCAGTGGCGGCCTCGGTACAGACAGCATACCGCTCGTGACCAGGGAACGTAGTGGTGACGCCAAGGTCCTGGAGGCAGCCGACACCAACTAGGTTCCTTGAGAACGAGGGGATATGCAGACCTGTAAGAGAGCCCGAAGGAACCGCCGGACAGGGAAGGGTGGTGGAACTGCGGGCGACTACCGGACCGCCGGAGGGGTCAGCAAGAGAAACGGCAGCAGGAACAGGAAGCGGCGTCAGGGTGGTGGAGTCGCGGAAGAAACACCGAGAGGCGCCAGAGTCCAAGGTGAAGGAAAGCGAAGCAGTGGCGTCTGGCGACGGAACGACGGCGGAAGCACCAAGACTACACAAAGCAGAGGATCCTACGCCTGACGCAGTAGGGGAGGCTACACTAGGCACACCTACACTAGGCAACAGTGAGTAATAAGCTGGAAGCACACTAGAGTCATCAGCATACATCACATGCAGAGCAGAAACAATGGCATCCATGTCCAAGTCAAAAATCGGAATACTACGTCTAAGCATGCTGTGCCAGTCCGGGAGGTCTGGCGACGGGCTGAAGCGCTGACGAAAGAGGTCGTCCAGGCGACGAAAACAGCGGGGAGTGGAGTGACCGATCTTACCGCAAACGAAGCCGCGGCGAGGACTGGTCTGGATCTGGTACTGACAGCGCCCGCCGCCAGAGCTACCACTCGACACACCACCACGCGTCCGGCCACCGCCAGCGCCGGGCCGCCCGGGCGGGAGGACACTCGTCTGCCGCGTCTGCGATGGCTGCTGCGAAGGCTGCGACTGCGGCGGCTGCTGCGGCTGCTGCAACTGCAGGGGCGGCGGCTCAGCTGGACTGGGCAGGGTCCCCTCGTCCGCTCCAGCACCAGACGACCCGACCCCACCACTACCCCCTCCCGCACCCCCGTCGCCGCCTCCGCCGCGCCCAACCTTGGGGCGGCGGCCCTTCCCCGAACGAAACTGCGCGGCAGCAGCAGTCTCAGCCACTGCGACAGAGCCGTCGGAGAAGGTACACTGGGCGGGGGCACAACCCTGAAAGATAGGGACCGGCACGACACCGCTCGCCTGGGCGATGGAGCGGTGACGGGTCTCTATCACAGTCAGGGTGTCTACAAAGTCAGTGAGGGTGAGGTGTGCGGGGTGAATGCTAAGGAAGCGGTCGCGGGCGACAGCAAGGCGGTCAGGGAGGCGGGTGGCAAGCAGGTAGAGGGTAGAGGCAATGGGCGGCTGGTGGGCTCTAAGCTGTGCGTCAGTGCAGGCGGCGCGCCAGGTCTCCTCTATCGAGCGCAGGTGGGCAGCGAGGTCAGAGACAGTGGGGAAAGGGGCAACGTCAGGAAAGAGCATCGGGAGGATCAGGCGACCCACCGAGGCAGCCGGAGGGGTGGAATAGCGCTTGATGACAGCATCTAAGTATGCATGAGCAGTAGTGAGGGACCTAAAGCGAGGACGTTCGGACGGGGGGAGGGCGTTGCTAATGGCAAGCTGGGCGACAGCATCGCGAGAAAGCCAGACAGAGCTTGCACGGGCAGTGGCAGCAGTAGACTCACGCTCAGTGGGTGTGGGGTCAGCGGGCAGAATAGCAGGGGGGTCTGGGCAGGGGAGCGTACCGTCAAGGTGTGCGGAAAGTGGTTCACCATCCTGCCGCTGGCCAGTGAGTTGGCGGCGGAGGTCAGCAAGCCACGCCTCGAACTCTAGGGGCTGACCTTCAGCGTCGAAGCGAAGCTCCGCCGCCATCAGGAACAGTCCAGTGCGGTGCAGGGCAGTGCAGCTAGATGCAGTGCGGTACAGTGCGGTGCAGTGCGGTACAGTGCGGTGCAGTGCGGTACAGTGCGGTGCAGTGCGGTGCAGTGCACTGCAGTGCGGTACAGTGCGATGCAGTGCGGTGCAGTGCGGTACAGTGCGATGCAGTGCGGTGTAGTGCTGTGCCAGGCAGTACAGTGTGATGCGAGGCGGCACGGAGCAGGGCGGGGTGGGGGGGGAACCGTACCAGTGAGGAGGACGGGGCCGGAGCTGGCCCGACGGGGCCGGGCGGGCGCGACGGGGCCGGGCTGGTGCGACAGGGCCGGGACGGGGCGACGGGGCCGAGCGGGCGCGACGGGGCCGGGCTGGGGCGACGGGGCCGGGCGGGTGCGGCAGGGCCGGGCCGGTGCGACGGGGCCGGGCGAGCGGGACGGCGGCCGGGCTGGTGCGACGGGGCCGGGCGGCTGCGACGGGGCCGGGCAGGGTGCGACGGGGCCGGGCGGGTGCGACGGGGCCGGGCGGCTGCGACGGGGCCAGGCAGGGTGCGATGGGGCCAGGCGGCTGCGACGGGGCCGGGCGGGAGCGACGGGGCCGGGCGGGTGCGACGGCGCCGGGCGGGCGCGACGGGGCCGGGCGGCTGCGACGGGGTCGGGCAGGGGCGACGGGACCAGGGGGGGGGGTACGACGCGGCCCAGGAGGGGGCTCTACGGGGCCCAGGAGGGGCACGACGGGGGCCCAGGAGGGGCGCTACAGGGGCCCAGGAGGGGCGCAACGGGGCCCAGGAGGGGCGCTACAAAGCCCAGGAGGGGCGCGACGAGGCCCAGGAGGGGCACTAAGGGGCCTAGGAGGGGCGCGACGGGGCCTGGGAGGGGCGCGACGGGGCCCAGGAGGGGCGCTACAGGGTCCAGGGAGGGCGCGACGGGGCCCAGGAGGGGCGCTACGGGGCCCAGGAGGGGCGCGACGGGGCCCAGTAGGGACGCTACGGAGCCTGGGAGGGGCGCGACGGGGCCTGGGAGGAGCGCGACGAGGCCCAGGAGGGGCGCTACGGGACCCAGGAGGAGCGCTACGGGGCCTGGGAGGAGCGCGACGGGGCCTGGGAGGGGCGCTACGGGGCCCAGGAGGGGCGCGACGGGACCCAGTAGGGGCGCTACGGAGCCTGGGAGGAGCGCGACTAGGCCCAGGAGGTGCGCTACGGGGCCCAGGAGGGGCGCTACGGGGCCTGGGAGGAGCGCGACGGGGCCCAGGAGGGGCGCTAGGGGGGCCTGGGAGGGGCGCGACGGGGCCTGGGAGGGGCGCGACGAGGCCTGGGAGGGGCGCTACGAAGCCCAGGAGGGGCGCCAGGGGTCCTGGGAGGGGCGCGACGGGGCCCAGTGAGGGGTGAGCGGAAGCGATAGGTGGGGGGGGGGGATCCTACCTACGCTCTGATACCATATCAAACTTGAAAATTGAATGATAGATAGAGTGAGAGTACACAAAGATATACCTAAGTGTTGTACTCTCTAAGAGGCGACCCTATACAGTCTATACAAACATGACAAATACACATGTTTGACAAGCATCACCTCGGCACCCATTCCTTTCGCAAAGGTGCTGCGACCGTCGCTGCCCACGGAGGCGTAGTGGACCGGCTCGTCAAACGTCTTGGCCGATGGCGCAGCGACACGGCCAAAGAAATGTATGTCACACCCGCCGTTGACCAACTGGTTGCGGCTTCCCGCAATGTATAGACCCTCGGGTCGGCACCATCCCCGGCACAACATTCTCGAGCTCTTGCACGCCACCGAAAGCCATCTCCCTCCATGTCTCAGGTCAACCCAGTGGAATGAGAACGATGCCATTTGCACTACAAGTAGCAAGCTTTCTCAATATGTAAAATTTTTAAGTGTTCACACTTTCAAAATTGCGTATTGTGAATGCGAAGCTGCTTGTAACGCAATCTCAGACATCGTCGAAGCGCGCTATTCGCCCTTCTCCAACCATATAATGAGGTTGGAGGTCATTCTTCCTCCACCCACGTTTTTCTTTTTTCCCAGCTCAAGTTCAATTCCCGCCCACCCAACCCGCTTCGTCTACCCTCTTCAACATGCATCGCTTCGGTGGATCATCCTCGGCATATACAAATCCCTCCTAGTGTAGGAAGTTTGTGCTAATATACGAATATATCGGGAACTCTTTGTACTTGATGCTAGTGGAATGAGAACGATGCCATTTGCACTAGAAGTAGCTGTTGTGATATAATTGATACTTAGCATTTCTGTAAGTCGATTAGGTATAGATAGTATCGAATCCTGCTGTCGAACATAAGTCCGTAGGATGACGTCAGCAAATAGCGCTCGTCATAGGACAGTCGTTTCAGTCACGCGAACAGTCGCACCTCTTCATTATCGTTTAAGGCGCATAGCGCGATAGTGACGAACAGGTACTTTAGCGAATAGGTACTTTCCTAGAGCTATAAATCTTTGTTGTGTCCTTTTTATTATTAACCTTGAGATTTCAACTTTGAGAACTTTGAGACTTAACTTCTGCAGAAACATGAGAAATTTTTTTGTAGTAAAAAATTACAGATTGTGATTCGACTAGAAGAGGAGTTTGCTGTAAAGGAGACAAACTCCTTCATCTATCGGCAGGTCTTTCAGACCTGCCACCTAGTCTCATTTGACGACTGCACTGCACACTCCTCTGAGGTCGTGTCACAATATATACTCAGGTTCATTCTTACAAGACTTCCGCTGTCTTACTAGTCTACCATTCCAGTAAAGATCCTGGACCAACACTTGAGGATTTTCCAAGTGTTCGTGTTTACAGTTTTATACTTAGTCTTCTACAACATTGGACAAGTTATTTCAGTAGCAAGCTTTCTCAATTAATCCTCTTACCACCTTACAATTGTGGTAAAATCGTACAGAAAAGGTAGTTCTACCTCATCAGCTTTAAAAAACAGTTCACACACAATGGAGACCTATGCAGGAGACTGCAGCCCAGCCTTTTTTAGGCTGCAAACAAACCTAGTTTTGTGGCTTTAGTTTCTTTGCATACGACTCTGTCCTGTTGCACTCAGCGAGGCATACTTTTGACGTGCAAAAACAAATCAGGTGGGGGCTGCCTGCCTGCACAGCTAACAGGCTCACACACCTGAGCCAAGACCTGAAAGTCCGAGCCTACTCCCTCCCAAGGCATGCAATCATGCAAGCAGGTGGCCCAGTTCTCTCTTGGCGGAGATCTGCCCCCCAACATGAGCCCCTGGCTGCTTCATCAACCCTCCCCCAACCACTTCTTTTTTTCTGCAACCTCTCCACCTTTTAGAAGCAGGCATATCTTCTGCCCCTGTCCACCCTCCATGCCCCCTTCGCCTACTTGGCACCCTCTTTACCTTAGCATCCCACTGCATCCTTGCCCCCTCACTTCCACTTGAGGTCTTGCAGGTCTTGCAGGTCGTACTCCTGTCCGCCGCCCTTGCCACGCTTAGCTTTCCGCCCCATTGCACACCAACCCAACCCCCTCACTTCCACGTGAGCTCATGCCAGTCGCCCACACTCGGCTTTGCTTGCCTTAGTGCGGCATGCCCCTGAGAACTAGTGCTCCTGCAGCGTGTCCCTGCTACACTCCTACTGCCTCCCTGCTCCCCTCATTTCCATTTCAGATCGTGCCAGTCGCCCACACTGGGCTTGCCCTGCCGGGCCTCCCCCTGCGCGCACTCCACCTTGATTTGGAACCCCAGCTGCCCCAGCACCACGTCCAGCACCGTGTCCCCGTGCGTGTGCCCATGGGCGTGCGCATGGGCATGCCCGTGCCCATGCATGTGCATCTGCCCTGCCCCTGCTGCTGCTCCTGGTGCTACAACTGCTCCTCCTGCTGCCCCCGCTGCCCCCGCTGCCCCCGCTGCTGCATCTGGTGCTCCTGCTGCTCCTGCTACTGCACCCGCACCTGCTGCTACTGCTGCAGCAGCACCTGCCGCAGTTGTAGTAGCAGCGTCACCAGCACCTGCAGCACCAGCAGCAACTGGGGCTGCAAAAATACCAGCACCAACAGCACCAGCACCAGCAGCAGCAGCACCAGCAGCAGCAGCACCAGCATCAGGAGTCACTGCAGCAGCAGCACCTGCAGCCACAGGGGCAGCTGCTGCCGCTGCTGCAAAAGGCCCCCCTGCCTGCAACACATCACCCTGACCATCTCTTTGCCCTGCAGCACCAATAGCCTGCCCCTGCCCCTGCCGCTGCCCCTCTTCCTGCAACTGTCCGTCCCCTCCTCCAGTACCCCCTCCAGCCATTCCTGCTGCCGGTGCAGCAGCAGCAGCAGCAGCAGCAGCAGCAGCAGCGCCAGCAAAGTCAGGCCCAGCACCCAGCCCACCCGTACCTGCCGCAGCGGCACGGTGGAACCCCCGGGTCATGGCTCGGTACTCCCGCACCAGGTGCCGCACCTCCTCCACTGCTTCGGCATGCCCCTGGTTGGGGTCCATCAGCGGAAATCTCTCGCCCGCAGCATCGGCAGCACCTGCACCGCCAGCAGCACCAGCAGCAAAGGCAGAACCAGCAGCACCAGCAGCAGGAGCAGCACTCGCTGCAGCAGCAGTGCCAGCAGGGCCAGCAGTACCATTAGCAGCAGCAGCAGCATTGGCGGCAGGTGGTTGTGTTTGCTCAGCTGCAGTTCCTCCCTCTGCTGCTTCATGCCCCAAGTCCATTGGCCCAGCCCCTTGCGCACCAGTTCCACCTGCTGGCCCTGCTGCAGCAGCAGCAGCTGCTGCTGCTTGTTGTTCCAATGCGGCATCCGCTGCTGCTACTGTTGTGCCCTCTGCCACTGCTGCTGCAGCAGCAGCCTCTATTGCAGCAACTGCTGCCTCTACAGCTGGCGCTGCTACAGCAGCTGCCCCTGCTACAGCTGCCCCTGCTACAGCTGGCGCCATTGCAGGTGCCCCTAGGGCTCCTGCTTCCACTGCCCCACCAGCAGCTCCAAAGACTGGAGCCTGTGCTGCAGCAGCGGCAGGTGCAGCAGCAGCAGCACCAGGTACCGCCACTGCAGGCGCAGCAGGTGCTGGATCAGCAGCAGCATCAGCAGCAGCAGCGGCAGCAGCAGCGGCAGGTGCTGCTTGTGCGGTGGCAGCATCTTGGTGAGCAGCGGGGTCGATGCAGCGCGGCCGCGAGGTGACGGTGACAATGCAGTCAACTGCGATGTTGGTGTGCACAAGCACGCCCGGCAGGGAGAAGTGGCGCTGAAAGGTGGCGTACACACTCCTGCAAAGGGAAGAGAGCAGAGGGAGATATAGAATGAGTGAGACAAAGAGGTGAGTGATAGTGAGGATGCAGTTGAACGTTGGTGTGCACGAGCACGCTCGGCAGGGAGAAGTGGAGATGAAAGGGGGCTTACACACTCCTGCAGATGTGAGAGATGAGAGGGGGAGATGCGGAGGAGGGAGTGGGAAATACATTTTTGAGGCGCCTCAAAAATAGACTCCTCACGCAGGGGGAGATGCAAAGGAGGAAGTGGGAAATACAAGTTCAGAAAGGCCATGGCGTGACAGTGGCATGGCATTGCAGTCTGCAGCGAGCGGTGGGCGAGCCAAAGAGGAGGGGGGGGGGGGGCATTAAGGATTTTGCGTTCGAACTCTCAGCCGTTACCAGTTCCGCAAATCTCGTCGAGTGCATGGCATCCGATTGCAGCCTTTCGCACACACTATGTTCGGACGACGAAGTTTGAACTCGCCAAATGTTCCCCTCCCCCCATGAGCACAACACACGGGGAGCTGAGCATAACACAGGGCGAGCTAAGCACACAACACAGGGGGAGCGAGGAGTAGGGAAGGGAACGAGTAGCTGCCAATGCTGTCCAGCAGAAGTCACAGAGACAAGAGACAAGTCACAGGGACAGGAGACTTCTCACAGAGACAAGAGACTAGTCACAGGGACAAGAGACTAGTCACAGAGACAAGAGACAAGGGGCAAGAAGACCAGTACGGAGAAGAAGCAGCACCCTACCCGCCGATGGTGCTGTGCTGCGCGGTGGCAGAGTTGAGCAGCACAGCAAAGCGATCGTCCTGAGCTCTCAGAGCCACACACGACACCTGCAGCTCACGCGCTGCCCGCTCCAGCGCCCTCCGGCTCAAGCCTGGTTTGCCGTCCACCAGCACGGTGCCCACCTGGACGGGTTAGAGGGTTGCAAGTGACAACAAGGTACGGGTAAGACGCCCTGAGAGAGCCGCACAGAATACCTGCAGCTCCCTCGCTGCTCGCTTCAAGGCTCCACGACTTAAAGCCTGGTTGATCATCCTCTAGCACTGTGCCCACCTGGAGGGGTAAGTGGGTTGCGAGAGACAACAAGGTACGGGTAAGACGCCCTCAGAGCCACACACAATACCTGCAGCTCCCTCGCTGCTCGCTCCAAGGCTCCGCGACTTAAATCCTGGTTTATCATCCACCAGCACTGCGCCCACCTGGAGGGGTAAGAGGGCTGTAAGATGGGTAACGGGGGATGGGGAAGGGGGCTGGAGAGCCACACGCGACACCTGCAGCTCCCTCGCTGCCCTCTCCAGCCCCCTCCTGCTTTGACGGCCACTAGCACTGTGCCCACCTGGAGGGTTCAGAGGGGTGTGACGGGTCAGAGGGGTTTGCTGGATCAGAGAGCACAAGAGGTGGGAAAGGCGTGTTGAAGTGGCAGGTGCATGGGAGTGTGGTGGGTGCGTAGGAGTCTAGTGGGTTGCATGGGATGGGAGTGGTCTCAATCTCTCAACTGCCTGTTCACTTGCCTTGCCTGCAGGCAGTGAGGAGGACGGCAGGGGAGGGGGCGGATGAGTGAGAGGAAGTGCGGAGGCAGCGGACAGACGAGGTGGAGACGAGGAGGGGGCGGGCGGAAGAGGTGGAGATCACGAGGGGGCGGGCGGAAGAGGTGGGTATATGCCTCTTCCATTGCCTCCAGATCAGCCACCGGCCTAATGAAGATTAAATGGGTTCGACCCGCAGCAAGCTCTAGCTCATCCGCCCGCCACCTCACTGCCTCCAGCTCCTCTGCCTGCCGCCACTTCACTTCCGCTAGCCCCTCAATGCCTCACGACCCTGCAGGTGCTCCTAGCCCAGTCCCTGGCCCCGCTGAGGGAGGGAGGGAAGCGATGGAATGGCTAAGCCGGGCTCTAATCCCCCCCTAACGACTAGATGTAGATTGAGACATGCACTCACATCAATGTCTCGCAGCGGGAGACAAACGATTCCGGCTGCTGCAGGTGCTTCCGGTCGCTCGCCCCGCTGATGCGGTGCGAGAAGAAGAGGTGCCAACCTGTGGTGACGTTCGAACATCCACTCACATTAATGTCTGGCCTGGCAGTGTGAAGACAAACGACTCTGGATGCTGCTGCTGGTGCTCCTCCAGGTGGTGTGGCTGGCACCACTGACTGATGCACCACAGGGAGGTGGCGGGATGGCCTTACCTCATTTTCCCACTAGCACCTGCAAACCTGCAGTGATCTTTGAAACTCTACTCACATCAATGTCGGGCAGCGTGAAGACGAATGACTACGGCTGCTGCTGGTGCTCCAGGTCCCTCGCCCCGCTTATGCGGTGAAGACGGTTGACTTAGTTTCCCCCAATCACCTTCCTTAAACTGCAATCACTCACATCGATGTCGGGCAGTGTGAAGACGAATGACTCCGGCTGCTGTTGGTGCTCCAGGTCGCTCGCCCCGCTGATGCGGCGCGAGAAGATCGGCGAACCGTGATACGAAACGTCAACGAGGAAGGTGACGTCAGACACAAACTCGTCCACGTGGCAGGCTGGGATGCTGTGCTGGAGCTCCCCGCAGGGAGTGTGCAGCAGGCGACAGAATCTAGTGAGGAGAAAGTGCAACGGAAGGGGAAAGCAGGCGTAGGCAGGAGAACACAGTAACGTGGCATGCTGGAATGCTGTGCCACATCTGTGCTGGAGAGATCCCCACAAGGCGTGTGCAGCAGACAGCAAAGCCCGAGATGGTTCCGTGCATCAAGTTTGGATAGTGTAGGAAAAGGAAAAAGGCACAGCGAGATTGATTGTGCCACACTGGGATGCTGTGCGGGAGCTACCCTCACGATGTGTCAGAGGCTCACCACAAAGTGCACCTTCATCGCTTATACCCTCACACAGGGTGCATCTCTCATCTCTCATATCTCACCACTCACAGGCTCTCACCTCTTGTACCCCCCACTTGCTCGTATTCTGGGTTCCAGGTCCGGCGAGTTGAGGCTGGGCCACTGCACAATGCACGCCAGATGCCACAGCATCTCATCCTCGCAAGCCTGAGGGCCGCAGAGGAAAAGAGGGAGAGGGGGGGGAGGGGGAGAAGGGGAGAGGGTGGGGAGGGGAAAGAGGGGAGATGGTGGGGGGGAGGGAGAGAGAAGCACGTACACAACGTTTGACACTGAGAAATCTTACAACAGATGCCACTTGTCTCATCTCGCACACCTGCAGGGCACACAGCGGGATGAGAGAGACATACACAGAGAGAACCGAGGCACTAATTTCGCCTCTTGAGAGGCCTCACATCACATATATGGCACAAGGGAGATGCCACAGCATCTCGTTCTCACACGCCTGCAATGCACACGGCAGAGAGGGAGAGGGGAGAAGGAGGGGAAAGACACACACACGCACCACGCTATGGTTTTAATAGGATACGTTCACTCAAACAGATGCCACAGCACCTCGTCCTCGCACGCCTGCAGGGTGCACAGCAAAAAACACAGAGCAGAGAGCAGAGAGCAGAGAGCAGAGAGCAGAGAGTGACACACAATCACAGGGCCCCACACAGGCATCACACAGAGGCAAAGAGCATCCAGCAGGTGGGCATACATGCGCTGCACAACCCCGCACATCATGCCCCATGCGCCACACATACACGAGTTGCACAAAACCGTGCATCATGCCGCCGTACACACACGCACTCTCCAAACGGGGCGGCATTGAGAACGTCCAGAATACGAGTTCAGAACGACACGCCACATTCTGTCACATTGTGTGCATGCGATGCGATGTGAGTGACAAGGTACTGTGTGCGATGAGGAGTTGAGTGTGCTCCGTGCTGCACGCCACCTGCTCCACCCACCGCACCCGCTTCGGCCCACCCTTCTGCCCCTCACCCTTTCCTTCCCACCCACAGCTCAACCCATCCCACCCCCCTCCCTTCCCCCCTCACCTCCCACCCCCTTCCCTCAGGAAGCCCTAGGAGTGCCTCACATTGCGGAAGGAGCGGCAGAGGCAGGCGAGGGAGGCGAGGCCGCGGGGCGAGAGGCGGGCGCTCTGCAGCAGCAGATAGATGACGGTGTGCTCCGTGCTGCACGCCACCTGCTCCTCCCACCGCACCCGCTTCGCCGGCCCCCCCCCATGCGCCTCCCCCCTCGCCGCCGCTGCGGACGCGGACCAGAGAGCGGGGCGGCCTGCGGGCATTGCGTGTGTGGGTGGGTGTTATCATGGGGAGAGAATATGGGGAGAACAAGTTGGAAACGACCTGCTCCCCCTTCCCTGCGCCTCCCCCCTCGCCGCCGCTGCGGACGCGGACCAGAGAGCCGGGCGGCCTGCGGCGCGGGCACTCCAGTGAATTAGGGAGATAGCGGGGTCGGGGGGAAGCGGGGAAACACAGGGGGAAATCAGTCAAGACCGTGAAAGCGGACCCCATGCTCCAAGTAACCCAACCCCCCCCACCCCCCCACCCCTTTCCCCCTCTCCCGCCCACACCCCCCCGCGTGATATCTGCACACCCCCCCGCGTGATATCTGCACACCCCCCCGCGTGATATCTGCACACCCCCCCGCGTGATATCTGCACACCCCCCCGCGTGATATCTGCACACCCCCCCGCGTGATATCTGCACACCCCCCCGCGTGATATCTGCACACCCCCCCGCGTGATATCTGCACACCCCCCCGCGTGATATCTGCACACCCCCCCGCGTGATATCTGCGCACCCCCTTCCTTCGCCTCCCCTCTCGCCGCTCTGCAGGCGCGGACCAGAGAGCCGGGCGACCTGCGGGCGGCGTGTAAGAGTTTGGAGAAATGCGCGGGAATCACGTCGGGAACGGCCACGTCGGAAACGGTCACGTCGGAAACGGCCACGTCGGAAACGGTCACGTCGGGAACGGTCGAGTCGGGAGCGGGAAAGCAGCCCATGCTTTGTGATGATCGCTCCCCCCTCCCTGCGCATCCCGTCCCTGCGCCTCCCCTCCCCGCGCCTCCCCTCCCCGCGCCTCCCCTCCCTGCGCCTCCACTCTCGCCGCCGCTGCATCCTATAAGCAAAACACCAAATTTCGGCAGGCCTACTCAGTAAGCTCGTACGCGTTTCGCCCTAAAAGCCTAACGGCTACGACCGCGACTCCTCTCGCCGCACAAGACCTAATTCTCGTTAGAAGTCGACACACCAACCAACCAGACGTAAACCTCCCTCTTAGCATCGCTCGCACTGCCGGCTGCTGGTGGAAAGAAGCGGCGTGCCTCTTGAGACTTGAGGCGACTTTTGAGTTTACCAAGAAGCGGCATGCCTCCCGCGCAGAGACAGCTGCTGAGGACCCAGAGAGACGGCATGCCTAATAGGCTAATACCGCTCGAAGTACTTGGGCTACCTAATCGTCGCAGATGCACGGGCGCGGGAGCCGTCTGAAACTCGTCGAGCCACAGGCGCAATCTGCTGCGCGAAAAGCTGCGCGAACTGCTGCGCGAAGTTACAAATACCGACTGAAAATGGCCTGAACAACCGCGGACCCGCTACGAACCACCGACTCTATCCAAACCGTGGATTCGGTATAAGCACATACCGGCAGTAGCTATAAACGCGAAACAGCCCTAAGCGTGACGCCCGAAGGATGCACCGGCAGCACCCATCATAACCCTAGTAGCAGTTGTGACGTGGCCGATTAGTAGCGCAGCTATAAACACTGACCCGCACTAACCTGTAGTAGCGGTGGTGACGTGGCCGATTAGTCGCCGCACCAGCTGCCACATGGCGGCGGCCCAGAGGAGAACGGAGTGAAAGAGCGACAGGAAAATGGTGATCGGAGTCGCCAGCCAGATCCAACGGCTGGGAGCGCACGAGGCGAGAGGAGCTCTGGGGGAAGGTACGGGTGCGAGAGTCGAAGGAGCGGCTCTGCGAGGGGAGGGATTCGCGCGACGCGTGATGCTAGCGTCAACGGTTTCGGTCGTGGCGCGAGGAACGGTCTCAGGAACAGGCTCTGGCGCTTCGACTACGGCTCTGGGAGACGACGGAGCTGTAAGGTGCGTTCCGTCACCGTCAACAGTTCCGTCACCGTCAACGGTTGTGGTGTGGGGAGCGATATCGGAAACAGGGTCCGGCTCTTCGCCTACGGCTCCGGGAGACGACGGAGCTGGGAGGTGCGTTCCGTCACCGTCAGACGACGCGGTTCGAGGAAGGATCTCGGGAACAGGGGCGACGCCGGAGGTGGGGGGGATGATGTCGGAAAGAGGCCCTGTCGCTTCGTCGCACGGTACGGTTGGAGCTGACGTGGACGCGGAAGGAGCCGTTGGATAACTCTCGATAGTATCACCAGCAGCAACAGCAGCGCTAACGTCAGTGATAGCGATATTAGTAGCAGGAGCAGTTCTGACAATAGCAGCAGCAGTTGCGGCAGACGACGCAGCAGCAGACGCCGCAGCAGGAGGGGGAGGAGCGGGAAACGGACTGCAAGGGGCTGCGTGGAGAGACGTTGATTCTGTTAGATGCATTCGAGCATGGAGACGCAGCGCGATCCACGGACCGCACTAACGAAGTTAACCTAATATTCTCCGGAAACTCTGTTCATACAGGGAGGCTCGACGCGCTGGAATCTCGCTGCTTGCGTCTCGGTTCTGGATTCATAGTCAGCTAGACACTTTAGAGACGAAAGATCCTTAAACCAGCGGCAAAGTTGTCAGGTTACCGTATTTATTGAACGATGCCGCGTGAAGTCGATGGCATGATGGAAACACCGCTGGTTTAGGTCAAGGTCGTGCAGCAAGCAGCAGGGATATGGAAGAAGGCAGGGCACTGGGGATGTGGATTGGGACGCAGCACCACAGGCAGATGGCCCAAACAGATTCGAGAAAGCGGTGGGGTCTGGCTGGTTCCTCCCTGGGCGATGATTGGGTAGATGGGGAAGGTGGGCAGAGAAGGATGCGGAGCGTATTCACACGATCACGTTTCGGAAAGGTTCAATTATTGGGATCATCCGGTACCCCCCTAGGGTTTTGGAAACTCATGGCGTGTCCAGCGCGTTCTCATACTATTAAGTTAGCGTGACAGGTACAGAATTTAGGTTTGGTAACCCGAAAATCCGTGTCTTTAAGACCTGCTCGAAAAGTGCGCGTTCTTAGCGGACGCTCTCGAAGCGTGCCAGCAGTCGTGTTGCGCACATTTCGAAAGCAGCTGGAAATCGGCCCGAAATGAACTCACGCCAGGAACGACAAATCCTGACTGGCGAAAAGTAAATACACGAATTCGTCAAATTCGGGCAGATTCGTCAAAGCCATGGCAAAAACAGCGAGGCCTCGTTTTCCAGGCTCGTAATACCGTAACTCCGTTTCTTTCGCCAAGATCTTTTGTTTCTCCCTGCGCAGAGCATTTGTCGTGTCAAAGACTGGACACAAGGCCGAGGCAAGCATGCTCTCTGGTCGAAAGGTGAGCCTCGCGACATCTACATTCCCCGTAACATTTTTCCGAGCATGTACAGAAGACGTAAAAAGCGCGAGTTAGGGCAAAATGAGCGCGCTGGACTGCCCTAAGATCCCACAAGGTTTCATGGTGCACATTCTGGACGAGCGGGGCTGCAGACGTGGTTACATCAAGCTTGTCGAATGTAAAAGGTGTTACTACAGACGGAAAGGTGGCTACCATTTCCATTTTCGACATGTCAAATTCCGTCCGGGAATTTACAACCAGCCTCCGGTCTGGGCTGGTTCAGATTTTTGTTGGTTGGGAGACTGGAAACCATGAATGAGCAGCCAATGAGCTCCGTGACCTCCCGAGTCGTGAGGTGACAGCTGACGGACGGAGTTTGACGGAAACTCGACGAGAAAAATACAAGGGTGTGACGCTGTGCCATTATCTGTGGAGGGGAGGGCTTCGTGCTCCTGGTTCGGGCAGTCTGTTCAGTGGCTCGGCCTTGTGGGACCAGGTGGTGTCTGATCAAACATCGAACCAACAGCTGTTTCGGTTGGTTGGTTCTGGACACACCACACCACCTAGCCTTGGGTGGAGAAGTTTGAGATGGCGCCTCGGCAGATAGGTGAGGCGGAGATACAGACATCCACCTGACTCCCCCCAATCTCGGTTCGGTTTGGTGGAAAACAAATCTACGTTGAGGGCGTGTCCCCTAAAATCGGTACCCGTTTTTGACACGCGGAGCCGTTTGACGGTACGCAATGTGAATCGATTTTGAAACAGATCCCGCTTTGGGAACTGGTCCGAAATGAGGGGTGCAGTTCGGAAGGACAGCACCCAGGCCAGCACAGACATAGGAGCGGGTACCGGGGTCCCGCCATGCAAAATCAGCACAAGGCGCGTGTAACAAAAAGAGGGCCAATCGGCGTAGCAGCGGGGGTAGGTTGTTCGATAGCGACGTGCGAGGCTGCAAAGTTTTGCTAGAGAAATTCGCTAAAGGTGGTGCTGGTACTGGTTGGCAAACTGGATTTTTGTGTGGTCTTTTTTTGTCGTGCGGAGGTACCTGGAAACCTGCGCTGGTGTCCGCTAATTTCGGGTGTGAGCTGGGCGTGTCCTGTTCGAGCATGTTCTATGGCTACACACCTAAAAATGGTAACCGAACTCGATGTTGAATAGAGCCCGTACTTTAGTGACACGCCCTCACTACCGACACTGTCTCAAGTGCAGTGCATTGCGCTTTTACCACTTCAAGGAGAGAATGCACTAAAAACCCAAATGCATAATTGCATACATATAAACATGTTATAGTTATATTTATGATAATGATATCATATTTCCATCTAAAAGGCGTAAAATAGGTGCAGATGGTAAATATGTTCCAATTTGTTTTGGAGAAAGTATGTACTATAAGAGCAATACAATACATACAACCTCATCAGTCGTTCGTAACTGAAATGGGTGTTGGGCAGTCCCTATTTTTCACGAGTAAATTACTCTGATTCTTTGATTTTCATAGTTGATTTTGTGTACCACCCTTATGCCTCTGGGTAAAAATTTTAGATTATATGTTTTCTCTGATAAGCCAGGGTTTTCTTTTGTACCACCCTGAGGGGTTTACTGTAAGAGGGATACCCCCGTATTTTCCTATACCCCCCTGTCCACATACATGCCCTCATATTCTCGCCTAGTTCACGCAGGCCGCCGAGCTGGCCCACGTGATATGCTGCCAAACCCACCCTCGCTGGCAGATACCCTTCTCTCCTATTGGACACTTGTGTATTTTTTACGCAGGTTTCGGCGCCACACCCGAGTTTACCACGTCGACTGCTACCACACTTGTACCCGCTGTACGTGTATGTGCCTCTGATTGGCCCCTTAGTCATTTGTTGCAGCCACGCACATGCAATACTGCGGGAATCTTTTCCCGCACGCGCGGGGATATTCCCTTCTCGAACGTTCAGGATGGCTCAGGAAGGCACCCAACCTTCATGTCGATGGCGCCACGGGCATAAAGAACAGGCGAGAAAGGCCTCGTCTTCTTCGCCCTGTTCTTCTCCCCCTGTAATACATTGGCAGTAGCCGCTACTGTACCAGTTTAGCAACCCTCTCTCACATCTTGTCGAACGTGATCTATTCCGCCAGCCTCGAATCCTCTCGTCGCCCCGCCTTGCCAGCTATGGCTGGCCTAGGCGATGCCGACGATGGCGGGGAAGATGAGGATGCCGCCCCACCCTTACGTAGCTCAACCCCACTCAGCGGTTTAGACTTTTTTGCATCGCACAAATGCCTCCCCAGTAGACCCTCCTCCGCTCCCGAAGCGTCGACTTACCGCCCCCCCAGTAGAGCCTCTGCCACTACCGAGTCGAAGCAGCGACGAATGGGAGCGTGAAATGGAGGAGGCGAATCTGTCGGTTGACAAGCTGGCAGATCCTCCACCTCCGGATCCCATGCCCTCGCCGCCGGCATCTGCATCAACATCGTAGGCTAAGAAGAGAGGACGGTACCAGTAGAGGTATCTGTCATTCGCGCCTCCTCCCAAGATAACGCCGCTAGCAATCCCTGCCCCCGTCGTTGAAGCAGAGCGACCCCTCGCACCAACGTCGGCCGAGATGAAGGCAAAAGCTTATCTTAATACTCAGAAGAAATATACCTCAGATTGGCATGGAAGGTTTCCTTGGCTCGTCCTGGATAAAACTGACGATGGCTCACCCTGTTTACGTTGCAGTGTGTGCATGCAGCATGACAAGCCGACAGCCCGCTACGGTCGCGATGGGCTTGGCAGCAGGGACTTACAGATTGGCAGCATGCGGTGGCTTGAGGAGAGCACCAAGCATGAGGCCTGCGTGCAGAAGCAAGCTCACCTTGACAAGGAAATCGAGAACCAGAAGCGCATGGACGACTTCGCCAAGAACGACCCCGATGCCGCCCGCGTCATCAGACTTCTACGCTCCATGCTATTCATCTGTAATGAAGATGCCCCGATTTCAATATTCACACGTTTAATTGGTCACTTGTCGCAAGAGGGGGTGAATGACATACCCAAGCAGACTTACGGCGCGTACATCATGAAGTAAACGCACTGTTTTCATGTTTGTGTAATCTATTGAATACGGGACTGGTGTCTAATCTGTTGTCTTATTGTATGGTGTTTGTCGCTGGTATGGATTCAGGGAGATGGTGAAAGCCATGGTGGCTTTCTTGAAGGCACAGCAGATGGAGCACATCCACTCCTCCCCGTTCATCGGCATCAGCTACGACGAGAGTACCGACCGCACCTGCAGAAAGCACCTCATCGTCTTCGGCACTTTCTTAAAGAAGCGGCGCGTCGTCACTGAAATCCAGAGCCTGCTCACCATCGACAAGTGTGATGCCGCGTCGCTCCCGTCTGTCCTGCTGGGTCACCTGGAGGGGAGTGGCATCGAGCTTCAAAAGATTGCTGGTATTAGCACCTATGGGGCGTCCGTGATGACCGGCGAGAAGAACGGGCTCGTCGTTCGTCTCCGACTGCGTATCCCGCACCTTGTCGCTCGCCATTGCATTGCACATCGGTAAGACTGCCATTGCAGTACCCTCCTGTCCATGTCTCTATGATTATCCATGCATGTTTCTAACCTCACTTATGCCTTGGTGTCATTGCAGAGAATTGCTGGCGGTCAAAGGCGCCTCCAACTCCTTCCCCGACCTGTTCATCGTCGACGTGATCATCCGAGCTTTCGGGGAAATCGTCAGTAGCTCGACTCCGTGGCACATGAAGTTCAAGGCTTTGCAGCTTGTCATCCACGACATGAACCTCGAACATAAGGGGCTCTACGCCATAAGGTGGCTTGCACGTGGTGACGCTGTGCGGCGACTCTGTAGGATTCTCGGCGCAGTCATCGTCGTCTTCATCGAGTACAAGCACAAGCATGTCGCGCTACTGAAGTCCTACAAGTTCCACTTCTGCCTCTACTTCCTCGCCAACATCCTCGCTCAGCTCAACACCCCGAACAGGTTTTTCCAGCGCCGCATGGTAAGTTGAATAGTTTTCGTTCCTGTCGCAGCTCGTTGAGTTGATTAATATTTTGGGCGTGCGTCTGGCGGGAAACTTGTTCTAACATCCATTCCCTTTGCCCTTGCCCTCCCGCCCCGACCTTCACGTGGACATTATGCTCGTCACCCAAGAGGTCGACCGCACTCTCACCTACATCAAGCACCGATACATCAAGTACGGGGAGCGGTTCGGCGGCGGGCTCAGCAAGCAGCTCGAGAAGTTCCTCGCCCACTACAAGGAGGGCAAGGGGTCGCTCGAGGTGCACGGCATTGCGGCGGATGGCTCTCTCTGCACGCACAAGTTCGAGCTCACCTTGTCGCGCATCCCGGGACATGCGTTTGGCGGCACTTCTTCCGACAGCGAAGACCTTTGCACGGTGTTCGCCAAGGAGACAGTGGGATGCTTGGAGGGGCGGCTGTGGAAAAATGAAGCGGATGGAGGGGTCGAAGCTCTACAAGGTGGACCAATGGCCCAAGAAGACAGAGGTGCGGGAGCACCGGTGTCGGAAGTGGGCCGAGCAGAAAATGGAGTTGTTCGACAACAAGCTGCCAGGTCAGTGGCTCTAAAAGAGGTCGTGTCGTATGACTTGAATCTGGTTAGATGCGGTGCCTCCTTTGTTACTTCAACACCTCTCCTTTTCGTGCCATGAACGCCCCTACCCCCCCCTCCCTCCTCCCCGCCAACAGGAGTTGAACTGCGAGCGATGGAGCTGGAGCTGAAGACCTTCTGCCACATCATGAAGACTCATCGCAAGGACGACGACTTCGCCCAGGGCTTGGTCAATATGATGAAGACGAAGGACTAGTCCAAGTCCTACCCGAACCTGATGCGGATATGGCAGGCGCTGGTGGTGTTGCCCTTGAGCACTGTCGAGTGCGAGCGCAGATTCTTACGGCAGAAAGCCATCAAGGGATGGCATCGCACAAGCCTTTGCGATGCCACCCTTGGTGACTTGATGACCATCAGCATTCTGGACTACGACATGGACTACCCCTAGATCGTGGAGAAGTGGAGGCGCATTAGGCACTGTAGGCAAGTTAGGAATATTGAATTTGAGTAGGAAATTCCCCTCTTCCCACAGCAGAAGGATGTCGCAGAGAACTCAGACGATGAGAGTGTCGGAGGTGGGAGTGAGGATGATAAGGAGGATGATGATGATGCGTTATTCATGTAATGTTGTACAATGCTTTATTGAAAAAAAACTGTTGCTGTCAATATTTTACTTTGGGCAACTAGCATTCTCACCAGAGCCGGAAAAAATACCACCCTGATTAGCCAGAGTAAATAAAATGAAATTATGGGGTTACTTTGATGCCCCAGGGAAAATATTGAAGACCACTCAGGTTTTCACAGTAGTGGTGAAAGAAGCTTCCTGGTTTCAGAGTAGTGAAAAACCAAAGATCAGCACTGGTGTTGGGTTATACGAAACACACCTCGCGAGGGTATTCCTTCTCGCAAATTGAAAATGTTCGTGGACCATCAGATTTGCCAGCAGGCAGTTAGACGGAGCGGCTATACGCGACGAATCACTGGTGGTGCAATGGAGTAACGAATTGGCTTGAGGGCCGTCAGATGTGAATCTAAGTAGAAATGGACGGTCGAAAAACGCTCTGCACATGGAGTCCCAAAATGCTTGGCGCACCGAACTTGAAAGCCACCCCTGACTGACGAGAGCCACGTTACCCCACTCGACCCCCACGAAAGCACGACTTTCAAACGCACTGCGTTTGAAGGCCGCGTTATGTAATTTGGGCCGCGGGTTTTAAACCCTGTTATAAGTGGAAAATATGTGCTCTAAGTTCATTGTGTGCTCGAGAATAAGGAAATGTTCTTGGGTCGTGTCATCCGCCAGTGCTGCCCAAAATTTGCCCGCGATCTAGGCTCGGCCGAACCTAGCTTACTGGCAAATTCTGGACGACACTGACGGATGACACGAGGCAGAACGGGTCCTACGAACCTCCTTTGCGAGCACTGGTGCTGGGTGGGCTGCTGGTGAGACGTGGGTCTTTCTCTAAACGGCTGCTCTGTACATCCGACACGCATCGCCTTTGTTCGCCTGGCAAACTCGTCGAATTCATGATCGTCAACGAGATTTTTCATTCCTCGCGGGCGACTGAAGGGAGGGCTCCCTTCACATGACGAACATACCTATTGGATGCGAGAACGTGCGATTTACAAGCGATCCTGCCACCCTGTTCGAGGCATGGTCAGCATCGTGGATTTCGCACCTCTGGAGACACCAGCCCTATCATCCGTAGTATTTCAGCTTCCGCATCCCACATTTCTTGTTCCAGCTCTGAATGGAATGGAACCTCTGTGCCCCCATTTCTGGAACTCCCCCCTGAGTGCTACTCCAAGCTCTCCACCATGTCTTGTTCCAGCTCCAAGCGATCTTTCCCCAACGTTCTTGGACATCATTTCGAAAGAATCCACATACGTGCTAGAGTCCCGCTCTCTCCGACAGCAGGAGTCGTTTGCGCACCAGTAGACTGTCCCCACGCAAACAACTAAAAGTCGCTCTCACGTCAGTAAGAGAAGGGTATTTCCGGCAAGAGGGCGAGCTATCGAGCTATCGAGCTATCGAGCTATCGAGCTATCGAGCTGTCGAGCTATCGAGCTATCGAGCTATCGAGGTATCGAGGTATCGAGGTATCGAGGTATCGAGGTATCGAGGTATCGAGGTATCGAGGTATCGAGATATCGAGCTATCGAGCTATCGAGCTATCGAGCTATCGAGCTATCGAGCTATCGAGCTATCGAGCTATCGAGCTATCGAGCTGCAGTAATTTCCCGCTTTCAAGCCTACCGGCGTGTATACGATGCCGCCTAGTAGTATCATGATCCTACCATCATCCCGACTCTCCATGCCGTCACCACGAACTCCCACGTTCCACGGCGGCGTTACGGCATCATGGGCAGCCGCCGCTCTCCTCGCCGTGATCCCGCGACGCGCCTGTCGTGACGTGCGAATCCCGGCCGTCCTGCTGCTCGCCTTGCTGCTCTCACTTCAGCTCGGACCGCAAACGCGAGGCGGGATGTTGCTCGCAAGAGCGGCCCGGGATACCGCGGCGTGGATCCACGAAGCCGATGGTGAGCTTGGGTAGTGTATGGGAGGGGAGACGGGGGGGAGGGGGGGGAGAGTGGGGGAGGGAGAGCGGGAGAGGGAGAGGGGGAGGGGATGGGGAAAGCGGCCCGGGATGCCGCGTGGATCCGCTAAGTCGATGGTGAGCTTGGAGAGTGTATGGGAGGGGAAGGGTGAGGAAGACGGGGAGGGGGGGGGGACGAGGGTGTATAATTTTCAGAGACTTTGTGGCAGTGAAAGATCGCCACGAGTAGAGCGTAGTGTGTTTGTAAGAGAGCTCAAGAGTATTGCTTGTAAAACAGAAGTGCTACATCAGCATCAGCGTCAAGTGGAAGTAAAATCGTGAGTATTTAATTTTCCATGCAACCCTATTTGTGGAATGAGGCTTGAGACATAGCACTAGCTAGTAGCATACGAGAGTGTACTTTTTAAAAGAGTGTAGCAATTGCACTCCCGAAAGTGCACGGAGCCTCTAGTGGTGGGTGAAGCCCTCTGATTGGTCGGTTGCTACTTGCACCTTCTCGACACTTCGCCAAGGCATTTTCGCCTCACCTCTAGGATGTTCTCCAAACATCTTCAGCGGACTCCAGAAGTGCCTGCCGCCAAGTCTTCTTCTGCACCTTCGTAGGTCGTTTTAGAACAAACCTAGGAGGACCTAGGTAGCTCCTCCAGTGATTGCAGCTCCTCTAGTGATTGCAGCTCCTCCAGTGATTGCAGCTCCTCTAGTGATTGCAGCTCCTCTAGTGATTGCAGCTCCTCCAGTGATTGCAGCTCCTCTAGTGATTGCAGCTCCTCCAGTGATTGCAGCTCCTCCAGTGATTGCAGCTCTACTAGTGATTGCAGCTCTACTAGTGATTGCAGCTCTACTAGTGATTGCAGCTCTACTAGTGATTGCAGCTCCTCCAGTGTCTCAAACACACCCCTCCTGTCCTCTCGTCTCCCTTCTACTATCCCCAGTGCGATGGCCCACAGTGGTGGGCGCAAGGGGGGAGCAGTCCCTAGGGTAGCAGCTGTGCTGCTTCATCTCCAAGGGTACTCCTCTTTTCCCTCGTACACCCACCAGGGAAATGGCCCACAGAGGTGATGGGCGGATGGGGGATGCATACCCTAGGGTGACAGCACTAATCCCTTCCCCCCATTCCCCCTCTTCCCCCTCTTCCCCCCCTTCCCCCCCTTCCCCCCCTTCATTCCCCCACCAGCGAGATGGCTCACAGTGGTGATGGGCGCATGGGGAAAGCAGTTCCAGGGGTGGCGGAAGGATGGGCCCTGCGAGAACGCATGGGGGCTGACATGCAAGGACGTGTCGGGGCATATCGACTCCATGTGAGTGATGCCGTGCTTGTGAGTGGTGCCATGCATGTGAGTGGTGCCGTGCATGTGAGTGGTGCCGTGCGTGTGAGTGGTGCCGTGCATGTGAGTGGTGCGGGGCATGTGAGTGGTGCGGGGCATGTGAGTGGTGCGGGGCATGTGAGTGGTGCCGTGCATGTGAGTGGTGCCGTGCATGTGAGTGGTGCGGTGCATGTGAGTGGTGCGGTGCATGTGAGTGGTGCTGTGCATGTGAGTGGTGCTGTGCATGTGAGTGGTGCCGTGCATGTGAGTGGTGCTGTGCATGTGAGTGGTGCCGTGGATGTGAGTGGTGCGGGGCATGTGAGTGGTGCCGTGCATGTGAGTGGTGCCGTGCATGTGAGTGGTGCCATGCATGTGAGTGGTGCCGTGCATGCGAGTGGTGCCGTGCATGTGAGTGGTGCCATGCATGTGAGTGGTGCCGCGCATGTGAGTGGTGCCGTGCATGTGAGTGGTGCGGTGAATGTGAGTGTTGCCGTGCATGTGACTGGTGCCGTGCATGTGAGTGGTGCCGCGCATGTGATTGGTGCGGGGCATGTGAGTGGTATCGTGCATGTGAGTGGTGCCGTGCATGTGAGTGGTGCGGTGAATGTGAGTGGTGCCGTGCATGTAATTTTGTAGACTAGGCGGACGGAGCGAGCCTGTGAGGGCGCCTGGGGGCTGTCGTGCAAGGATGTGTCGGGCATTCTGATTCCACGAGAGTAGGGTACCACACGCATGTGAGTGGGATATCACATGTAAGTGAGATGGGTCTCGTACGTATCAGAGTGTGAATGGAATGTGATGACACGCCCTCAATACTTCACCATGCATCACAACCCGTCATGGCATCACGCCACCATACCATGGCACCATGCCACCATACCATGGCACCACGCCACCATACCATGGCACCATGCCACCATGCCACCATGCAGGCAGCTTCCATCGCAGCAGCTGAGAGGAGGCATTCCGTCTGTCATGGGCCACTTCACTCTCCTCACACGCCTGTGAGTCTTCACATCCCATTCATGTGCCATGCATCTCATCTCATGCCATGCATCACATGCCGTGCATCACATGCCATGCATCACATGCCATGCATCTCATGCCATGCATCACATGCCATGCATCACATGCCATGCATCACATGCCATGCATCACATGCCATGCATCTCATGCCATGCATCACATGCCATGCATCACATGCCGTGCATCACATGCCATGCATCACATGCCATGCATCTCATGGCATGCATCACATGCCATGCATCACATGCCATGCATCACATGCCATGCATCTCATGGCATGCATCACATGCCGTGCATCACATGCCATGCATCACATGCCACGCATCACATGCCGTGCATCACATGCCATGCATCACATGCCATGCATCACATGCCGTGCATCACATGCCATGCATCGCACACACACATCGTGCACCAATGAACGGCATCAACCATATCATGCCTCGCTGTGTATATAGGTAGGTGCCTCAGAATCTGTCTCTGTCTGTCTCTGTCTGTCTCTGTCTGTCTCTGTCTGTCTCTGTCTGTCTCTGTCTGTCTCTGTCTGTCTCTGTCTGTCTCTGTTCAACACTCGAATGAGCTCCCCTTTCAGGGACTTGAGCTCAAACCAACTCTCCAGCTCCATCCCTCACTTCCTCGGGTCCTTAGTCAGCCTGCAATATCTGTAAGCCACACACTATGTGTCGTGAATTGTGTATCATCCATGATCTATCGTGGATGACAGGACAGGGGGGGGGGAGGCGGGAATGGGGGAGGAGACGGGAGCGAGCATGCTTGAAGTGACTCGGTGACATGACATACGAGTATGCCTCATGCCACGTGCGCTGTGGGTGGCAGGGACCTGAGCAGCAACGCGTTCACAGGAGCCATTCCCAGCAGCTTCAGCAGCCTCGTCCACCTCAGATCGCTGTGAGGCCATCGGTCCACTCTAAATGCTCGTCAAATCTCATACTTCCCCTTCCCCATGTGGCCCCCTCCTCCCCCCTCTTCCCCCCACTTCCCCCCTCTTCCCCCCTGTTCCCCCCTGTTCCCCCCTGTTCCCCCCTGTTCCCCCCTGTTCCCCCCGCTTCCCCCCTGTTCCCCCCTGTTCCCCCCTGTTCCCCCCTGTTCCCCCCTGTTCCCCCTGTTCCCCCCTGTTCCCCCCTGTTCCCCCCTGTTCCCCCCTGTTCCCCCTCTTTCCCCCTCTTCCCCCCTCTTCCCCCCTGTTCCCCCCTGTTCCCCCTGTTCCCCCCTGTTCCCCCCTGTTCCCCACTCTTCCCCCCTGTTCCCCCCTGTTCCCCCTGTTCCCCCCTGTTCCCCCCTCTTCCCCCCTGTTCCCCCCTGTTCCCCCCTCTTTTTCCCCTCTTCCCCCCTCTTCCCCTCTCTTCCCCTCTCTTCCCCCTCTTCCCCCCTCTGCCCCCCTCTTTACTTATCCACTGCACATGCTCATGACCGCCTCTCCTCTCTGCCCCCGCCCCATCACCAGCTCTCTCCACCGCAACAACCTCTCAGGCGCCATCCCCCCTTCCCTCGCCCAAGCCAAGGCCCTTTCGCTCCTGTAATCTCCGCTCCCTCTTCTGCTCACTCGGAGGGCTGCTTAGTTCCGAGTAATTCTGCCCTGCTCCTCTTTCCATCGATTTACAAATCGTGTTGGGATTCCCTTATTTTCTCTTTATTCTAGTTGTTCCGTCAGTCGCATCATATTTCCATAATTCCATTTCCCCTTTGCCCACCTCCTCTTTCATTCACCTGGTCTCTTCCTACCTTCCTCCCAACTCATTCCTTCCCTCAACTTATGAACAGGGATTTGAGCAATAACGGGTTCACTGGGTCGATTCCTCCCCAGCTCGCTTCCCTCACCAACCTCACCGCCTTGTGCGCTGCGCTCCCCCTTGCTTCTTCTTCTGCTGAGGCGCCTCAACACTAGACTTTTGCGGTGCCTCAACACAAAAACTCAACTCGCCGCCCTCACTAACCTCACCACCCTGTGCTCTCTCCATTGTTGCTTCTCTCTTGTCACTCCCCTCCCTCCCCCCCCCCCCCTGCTCTCTATCATGTGCATGCTCACCATATCCTTCGCTCCTCTCGGTCACATAATCTTGCTTCAAAAGTAGTGATCTGCGTTCCAGGCACTTGTCTGCTTCCGCAACCTCCTTTTCCCTTTTCTGCACTCCCTTTCATTCCTCTTCTTTTATCTCCTCCAATCTACCTGCTTCCCTCATTGCTTGCCTTATTGCTTCCCTAATTTCTCCCCCATTGCTTGCCTTAAACCCTCAATCCCTTCTTCTTGCCACTTGTACTTCCCTTTTTACCTTCCATCTTGCAATATTCTCTTCCCCTTCCATGTTTACCTTCCATCTTACATCCCTCTTTCTTTCCCTTCCACTGTTGCTTCTCTCATTGCTTCCCTCGTCCCTCTTTCCACTTCCACTCCCCTTTTCACCATTCGTCTTCTAATGTTCTCTTCCCCTCCCCTCCTCCACATCCCCCTTTCTTCTCCTTCCCTTGCGAGCCACACGAAGAGACCTGGCCACTAACGAGGGGCTCACCAGCAGCATACCAGAGCAACTGGGCAACCTCACATCCCTTGTTTCGCTGTGAGGATATGCCTCCACTGAGTGGCTCTAGTATACAACTGTATATCCCTCCCAACCTCTATTACTTCTACGTCATGCATCCATCAGGATAATCATGCTGATCTCACAACCGACGGATCTAGTCATGATTCCCTCACCCTCCGCACCCTTCCACCAGCAAGCTCGGGTCAACTCAGCTCAACGGCTCGCTGCCTCTCAGCTTAAGCCGTCTCACGCAACTCACCATGCTGTAAGCTGCGAGGCACCCATTCTGTAAGCTGCGAGGCACCCATGCTGTAAACTGCGAGGCACAGTCAGACATGGCACGTTCAGACATGGCACAGCCAGACATGGCACCTCACGGTCTGGTGTAAGGCATCTCACCTCGCAATGCTGTCATGCATCTCAACGGACCCACCCATCGTTCTGCTGGTGGCTGATTGATGGTACACCTCGTCCCTCTCCTCCTCTCTCCTCTGCCCTTTTTTCCCAACCTTCCCCCTCCTTAACTCCATCCCATCCCATCCCATCCCATCCCATCCCATCCCATCCCATCCTCTAACCCCTCCTCCTTTGAATTCCTGTCCCCTTTCCTCCCATCCCCCCCCCCCCTCTCACGTGCAGGGACATCGGCAACACATTAATTAGTGGCTCGGTGCCGGCTTTCCTCGGCATCCTCTCCAATTTGCTCACATTGTCAGTTGCTCGCATTTACACTACCTCACATAACAGCCCCACATCTCTGCATCCCCACATCTCTGCATCCTCACGTCTCTGCATCCTCACATCTCTGCATCCCCACATCTCTGCATGTGCACTCTCTTCCCTCATATGTATATTCCCCCTCGCCCCATCTGCCTCGCACACTGTCTCAAAACTTGCAGCGTTAGGAGCAGCAACATGACATGCAGCAGCAGCACCAACAGCACCAGCAGCACTGGCAGCAACGGCAGCAGCAGCGTGTGCGCTCTCCTCAACGCCTCGTCGTTCTCGTCCAACTCAGCCTTCTGCCGCGAATGCTCGGACCTCTGCACCACCTGCCTTCCAGGTGCTTCACTACAGCCAGGCGCGACATTAGAGGCAGGTGTTGCATCCATAGCTGCTGTTGCACCCATAGCTACGGTTGTATTTAAAGGTGGAGCTGCAGGCCATAGCTGGCCCTGCATCTAGATCTAGATCCAAGTGCTGCATCTAGATCCAAGTGTTGCATCCGTGCAATCCTCTTTGCCACATGTGCTTCCATCATTGCGTTCCTTTCTCCCACTTTGCCCTCTTCCCATCGCCTGCCACTTTCACTCCCAGCACCCGCCCCTCCCCCTCCCACCACTCCCTCACAATTCCCACCACTCCCTCCCCCTCCCATTGTCGGGGTGACTGTGGCAGCCGCCGCTGCTCTTCCCTTCTTCTGCTGCTGCTGCTGCTGCTGCTGTGACTCTCGTATTCATTCATGTGTTCTCTCCCCATGTGCTTCCCCTTGTGCTCTCGTCTCCCCGTGTGCCCTCTCCCTCTGTATCACCAGCCCCTCCCCCGCCCACCACTCCCTCACAGCCCTTCGAAGGCAGCACCTCTTCCTCTTCGTCCACCGGCCTCATTGTTGGGGTGGTTGTGGCAGTGGTCGCTGCCCTGCTGGTGCTGGGCGCGCTGCTGTGGTGGTGGAGGAAGAGGAGGCAGCACAAAGAGCAGTCAGGTGGGTGGATGGCAAGATGTGGCACGTAGGAGGAATGCATAGAGGAGTCGTTGTTAGTGTCACTGTGGCAGGCACTGTCGCTCTCCTGCTGCTGGGGGGGGGGGCTGCTGTGGTGGTGGGGGAAGAGGAGGCAGCACATGTGGCGAGAGAAGCAAGGTGGGCGAAGTATGCCCCTCTTCTTCTGCAGATCAAAGTTGGTGTGACTGTAGCAGCACGTGCTGCGCTGCTCTGGTGGTACAGGCACACCATGGCACATCGTGGCACATCATGGCAGAGCAGCAGTAAGCGTCGCAGTCGCCTGTGTCCCATGTTCCCCTCCCTCAGCCAGACGGTGCATCTCCCTGCACAGCAGACAGTAGCGTCGAGCAAGGCGAGGAGCCCCTGGCATATCATCAGGACCTGGCGCATCCCCCTTCACGGTGCCACATCCAGAAAAGCTTCAAGCCCATGCCTCGTCCACTCTCCCCTCCCTCGCCTCTTCCAAGCCCATCCCTTCTCACGGTGGCAGTGGGCGCAGGGGTCAGGAGCCCCTGGTATGCCAGCAATACTAGACAGAGGATGTGCGGCGGGCGGCGGCAGATTGGGAAATCCTGCTCGCGCCAGTTGTCTGACAGCAGTGGCCCTGGGCCATAATTCCTCCCCGTGCCATCACCTCCCCAACCCCTCCTAGGCCCATCCCCTTTCACAGTACAAGTGGGGGAGGGAGAAGAGCCATTGCACTGCCAGCTGTACTCCATAGAGGATGTGCGGCGGGCCACAGCAGACTGGGGGGAGGGGAAAGTAGCACTCGCTGTCACCTCCATCCATCTATACCCGCCCCTCACAGGCCCATTCCCCTCCCCTCCCCTCCCCTCCCCCCCTCCCCTCCCCTCCCCTCCCCCCTCCCCCTCTTCCCCCCTCCCCCACTCTTTCACAGGCCCATCGCCCTTCACGGTGGCAGTGGGGGAGGGCGAGGAGCCCCTGTACTGCCAGCAGTACTCGATAGAGGATGTGCGGCGGGCCACGGCGGACTGGGGGGAGAGGAACCGCGTGGGCACGGGGGGCTTTGGGGACGTGTTCAAGGGGGCGTCGCCGTACGACACGAGCGTCTTCTGGGCTGTCAAGCGAGCAAGGGTTCTCACAAACGACTTCCTGCAGGAGGTAATTTGAGGTGACCTATGAATCGACTTAAAAATCAACACGTTGCAAAAGTGGGGTAGGCTCGAGTCAGTAGTACAGCAGGGCACAGCAGCATATGGCTGTGAAAAGGTAGTAGGGGCAGTACGTTGCGACTCCTTTTGGGGGTGAGAAGCGAGCACATGTCCTCGTCAGCACATCGCCAGAAAGTGCATATCCTCGTCAGCACATTGCCAGAAAGCACATACCCTCCCCAGAACATAACCGGCAAGCGCATATCCTCATCAACAGATGGCCAGCAAGAACAATACTAATCTGGTGCCTCCGTTGGATTCCGCCAGAACGACAGCTGTCACCCACTCCATCCGTACCCGCTCCCTCCAATTCCGCTCCTTCGCTTTCCTCCTTGCTTAGCAGATCGAGCACAAGCCCAGCAAGGACCACCCATGCCTGGTGCGGCTGCTGGGGGTCTCCCACGACAACAACCATCTCCTGAACTCTTTATCACTCATACCTTGCAGCTTTCATCCCTCTCCTGATTCCCCCACTACTTCGCAGGTGGAGCACATGGCCAGCAAGAACCACCCATGTCTGGTGCGCCTGCTGGGCTTCTGCCGCGACTACAACCCACGCACGCAGCAGATGGAGCAGATCGTGATCTATGAGTACATGGACAATGGGGACCTTTCACAGTGGACCCGACCAGGTGAGGGAGTGAGGGAGTGAGTGAGTGAGAGAGGGAGTAAGTGAGTGAGAGAGGGAGTAAGTGAGTGAGAGAGGGAGTAAGTGAGTGAGAGAGGGAGTAGGTGAGTGAGAGAGGGAGTAAGTGAGTGAGAGAGGGAGTAAGTGAGTGAGAGAGGGAGTAGGTGAGTGAGAGAGGGAGTAAGTGGTAAAAGATCTCTTGTGGGCACGCTCATGAACCGCAAAAATACACATTCTGACTCACTGCTTCGTGCATCTCCCACATTCATGCCTCCATCCTTAATTAACATGCTGCTCGATCTGCTGCTATCAGTGGCTCACGGCCTCGCTTATCTGCACGGCTCTGGCACCTCACAGGAATTACAACTATATGGAAGGTTTGATATACTAGCGTCCTTCTATCTATCCTCCCTTTCAACACTGCCAGGCGGCAAGCACCTGACAGCAAGTCAGCTGCTGGACACGCTGCTGTCAGTGGCGCAGGGCCTGTCGTACCTGCATGGCTTTGGCATCGTGCATCGCGACATCAAGCCGGGGAACATTCTGCTGGATAAGAGCATGCAGGTGGGTGCTTCCTTTTCTTGCTCTCTCCTTTCCATCAACCTGGGGAACATTTTCCTCAGCTGGGTAAGAGCATGCAGGTGGGCTCTAGTTTTGACGAAACGTTCAGAGTGGGTAGTGCTCTTAGAGTTCTCTTTTTTGCTGAACATGGATCTTTCAGGTGGGTGCTAGGATGCAGGAGGTGACTTCTGAGTCCAATCTAGCCCCCTTTATTTGAGAGAATGTGAAAAGGTGTGTTCTCGTTTTTGTTCAATACGTTCTTGAATGTGCAAAAGTGGGTGGGTGGTTAAATTCGTGGATGAGGTCAATTCTGTGGAATGTCACTTTCAAACCCCCCAAAAGAGGCCACATATTTGACATTGGACTGTTTGTATGAGTGAAAGCAGCACATTCAAGACAACACAAGTCAAGCAAGTTAACATGAGCAAATGAAAGCCTACCATCCCTCCAAACAGGCCAAGCTATCGGACTTTGGTCTGCTGAGGATGAGCGAGAGCAGCACACTCAAGTCAACTCGAGTCATGGGAACACCGGGCTATGTCGACCCCACCTACACCCAAACACGCAAGGCCACAACCGCAGCCGATGTGTACAGGTGGGTCTATGCTTCATTGCTTTTGAGGCGAGTCAAAGGCAGACAGACACCCGAACACGCAACTATGCCTGCTTTTGTCACAGCAGAAGCTGGTGTGAAGAGCTGGGTGATACACGTTGCTGCTTCATGCATTGCTTTTGACGCATACATTGCTGCCTATGCATTTGCCTAATGCACACACAGAACCACATCCGTTTCCTAGCTCTTATGATTTCTCGCATGCACAGTTGTTGGCTCTAGTCCATTGCCATTACCTCTTTCCCCCAATCGTATGCATTGCTCTCAAAATTCCCTACTCTCAGCTTTGGCATTCTGATTCTGGAGCTCATCACATGCAAAAAAGCCGTCTTCGCTGTCAACGACCGCCCCGTTCACGTCCGCGACTGGGTGGGTTTTGCTGACTGGGTGGGTTTTGCTGACCGGGTTGGTTTAGCTGACTTGCTGAGTTTTGCTGAGTGGGTGGGTGCCACTGGCGTGGGTATGAGTAGGTGTCAGTGTGTCTGTGTTAGCAGGTGACTTCTCACTTGTCAACGACCAACCCATTCACCTCTGCGATTGGGTGGGTGTCTCTGGTCACTGATGTGGCTATGAGTAGGTTTCACTAGCGTGGCTGTGCTAGCAGGTTATTTTTCGATTGTCAACAATCCATTCACTTTTGTGATTGGGTGGGTCTCGCTGGTGTGGCGTGAGTGGGCCTGAAAAGTATGGGTGTTGAATACATGTATGCAATAGCATACATGCTCTAGTATTGTGTTGGGTGAATCCATAGCATACCAGACTATTGGCCCCAATTGTTGGAGGGTCAAGCTTGCAAATGTTGGCTTATCATTACTGGTGGTCAACCCATCTATTATTACTGTTACACTCAAACCTCTTCACTCAATCCCCTTCTCATCCTCTTCCAGGTGTCACAGCAGCTCCATTCAGGCAGTGTCAACTCGGATGACTCCACCACCGACAGTTCACTTGATGTACGCCCTGCCGTAACACAATGCCAATCTATTCCATCAACTTTGATGCCATGGTTTTAAAAAACTACGGCTCATTTTTTGCATTGGCAAGTGCTTTCATTTGCCAGACCGTTTGAGCGGTTGTATCCTCCTCCTCTCTTCATCGGCGTCAATCATTTCTTGAATCTCTGCATAAAAGCATACCACCTCCCTTCATTGCCACCTCCACCTCTGACAAATGTCTTAACTGTCTTCATCGGCCACTTTACCAGCAAATCAGCTTCTCTAACTCCTAGGTCAGTTAAGGACGATACTCCACTCCTCACCCTTTCTCCCTTCCTCCCTCCCTGAACGGCCAGGCAACCAGTGAGCTGCAAGCAAGCATCAAATCACTGCACATGATGAAGTCACTCTCACTCTCCCTCTCTCTTCCCTCCCTCCCTCCCTCCCTCTTTGCACTGCCATGCACCATGTGAGGTGCATGCAAGCACCAACCCACTAGACATGATATTGCTGCTCTCACTCTTTCCTTCCCTTCCCTCTTCCCTGGACCTCCAGGCACCACGTGAGCTGCACGCAAGCGCTTACTCACTCGACGTTATCGACCCGCGCCTTGCCATGCCCCAGCCCATTGCCTTGCGACTCCTCCACCTTGCGCTCTCCTGCACCTCCATGTCGCTGGCCTCCCGCCCCTCCATGATGAAGCTGGTGCTGGAGCTGGAGACTCTCAGGAATGAATGCCTTGCCACGCGGCCTTCTCTTGTCTATGAGTAACAGCCAGCGACTCCTCCGCCTCGCTCTTTCCTGCACCACCATGTCATTCGTCTTCCGAATTTCGGGCTTCGCATAGCGAACTTCTTCGAAAGTTCAAGATGTACATACTAGAATTATGGTTTGATTTAAGTTGTTCCAGTACAAATGCTTATACTAGTCATATAACTGCACCGCAATAATGTAGAGTGTATTGGTTGAGTTGTGAGAACTTGTGGTGTACCTCCCTTATGGTGGGCCACCTCCCAAACCCCTTAGATTGGATTCTCTCTTGTGTGGAAGTCATTTTTGGATTGGATTGTTCATAAATGTAGATCATGCCCAACTCCTAGGCACTATGCAAAGCTCATCTTTGTCAGAGGGTGTGTAACCGAACATCGGAGCATAGTGCCATCACAATATGGCATTCACAAGCGAGCAAAGGACGGGCAAAATCAGCGGGGTTATTTACATCCAATTGTCAAACATGTGTATCTCCTATGTTTGCATAGACTGTATAGGGCCACCTCTTAGAGAGTACAACACTTAGGTATATTCACCTGTACTCTCTCTCTACTCAATCATTCAGTTCTCACTTTGATATGGTATCACGCATAGGTTAGGATCCCCCACCTACCGCTTCCGCCCGTACCCTAGCTAGGCCCCGTCGCGCCCCTCCTGGGCCCTGCCACGCCTCCTGGCCCCGTCGCGCCCCCCTAGCCCCGTCGCGCCCCCCCTGGGCCCCGTCGCGGCCCCCTAGACCCGTCGCGACCCCCTAGCCCCGTCGCGCCCCTCCTGGGCCCCGTCGCGCCCCCTAGCCCAGTCGCGCCCCTCCTGGGCCCCGTCGCGCCCCTCCTGGGCCCCGTCGCGCCCCCCTGGCCCCGTCGCGACCCCCTAGCCCCGTCGCGCCCCTCCTGGGCCCCGTCGCGCCCCCTAGCCCAGTCTCGCCCCTCCTGGGCCCCGTCGCGCCCCTCCTGGGCCCCGTCGCGTCCCCCCTGGCCCCGTCGCGCCCCTCTTGGGCCCCGTCGCGTCCCCCCTGGCCCCGTCGCGACCCCCTAGCCCAGTCGCGCCCCTCCTGGGCCGCGTCGCTCCCCCCTGGCCCCGTCGCGACCCCCTAGCCCAGCCGCGCCCCTTCTGAGCCCCGTCGCGCCCCTCCTGGGCCCCGTCACGCCTTTTAGCCCCGTCGCGCCCTGCCTGGCCCCGTCGCGCCCGCTCGGCCCAGTCGCGCCCTGCCTGGCCCCGTCGCGCCTGTCTGGCCCCGTCGCGCCCTGCCTAGCCCCGTCGCCCCCTGCCTGGCCCCGTCGCGTCTGCCTGGCCCCTCCGCGCCTGCCTGGCCCCGCCGTGCCTGCCTGGCCCCGTCGCGCCCTGCCCAGCCCCGTCGCGCCCTGCCTGGCCCTGCCGCGCCTGCCTGGCCCCGCCGCGCCTGCCTGGCCCCGTCGCGCCTGCCTGGCCCCGCCGCGCCTGCCTAGCCCCGCCAAGCCTGCCTGGCCCCGCCGCGCCTGCCTGGCCCCGCCGCGCCTGCCTGGCCCCGCCGCACCTGCCTGGCCCCGCCGCGCCTGCCTGGCCCCGCCGTTCCTGCCTTGCGCCCGTCCCAGCCGACCCCGCGCCCGCCCTTGCGACCTCCGCGCCCGTCTGCTCGGCCCCTGCGCCCGTCCCAGCCAGCCCCGCGCCCGTCCCGTCGACCTGGTGCCTGCTGCTTCTGGCCCCCGCGCCCGTCCTGCCCCGAGCTGTGTGCGGTCCGCTCGTCGTCCCTGCCCCGGCCCTGCATCCTCCCTGGTACGGTTCCCCATCCCTGCACCGCACTGCACCGCCCTGCACCGCACTGTACAGTCCTGCACTGCTCCTGATGGCGGCGGAGCTTCGCTTCGACGCTGAAGGCCAGCCTCTGGAGTTCGAGGCGTGGCTCGCCGACCTCCGTCGCCACCTCACTGGCCATCGGCAAGATGGCCACCCGCTTTCCGCACACCTTGACGATACGCTCCCCTGCCCAGACCCCCCTGCTGTTTTGCCCGCTCACCCCACACCCGCTGAGCGCGAGTCTACTGCAGCCACTGCCCTTGCGCGCTCTGTCTGGCTTTCCCGAAACGCTGTCGCTCAGCTTGCCATTAGCAATGCCCTTCCTCCGTCCGAGCGCCCTCGCTTTAGGTCCATCACTACCGCCCAGGGTTACTTAGATGCTGTCATCAAGCGCTATTCCACCCCTCCTGCTGCCTCCGTGGGTCGCCTGATCCTCTCGATGCTCTTTCCCGACCTTGTGTCCCCTCCCCTGTCTCCTGACCCGACTCCTCCGTCTCACGTCTGGTCTCACCGTCCTTCTCGTGCTCGTCCTGCCTCCCCTGTCTTGCGCTCCCACCCTATGTTGCTTCGTTCCCACGTGTCTCGTCCTCCCCTTCTCTCGTCGCCTCCTCCGTCCTCCCTTGTTGTTGCACCCCCCCCTCTGTCTGACTACCTTCGTGCCACTCGTTCTCTTGTTCTTCGGGTCCTTACCTCTCTCGTTACCGACCCGTCTGTTCCGGTTTCGTGCCTTGACGCTCTGGTAGCTGCGGTCGCTGACTTCGCCTCTACCCGCCGCCTTGACTACGCCACTGCTCTGGTCTCTAACCCTGCCTGTCCTCCGTCTGTCGGGGGTGCTCCTGCCCTCGGCAGTGACGTCCTGGAGGACCGCCAGTTCGAGCTTGCTTTCCTGTCCGAGGCTGCTCCCCATCTCTGTTCCATGCAGCTAGTCCCTGAGGGTGACCCAGACGCTTTCGACATCCCGACCCCTCGCACTTACGCTGAGGCAACCTCGAGACCTTGGGCCTCGCAGTGGATAGCTGCCATGGAGCAGGAGATGGCATCTTGGAGATCCACCGGCACCTTTGTCGACGCAGTTCCCCCGCCTGGGGTGAACGTAGCCGATGGCCGCTGGCTCTTCAAGGTGAAGCGCCCACCTGGAGAGCCGCCTGTGTTCAAGGCGCGCTACGTGGCTAGAGGCTTCAGTCAGCGTGAGGGAGTGGACTTCTTCCAGACCTTCGCTCCGACCCCGAAGATGACTACTCTTCGGGTTTTGTTACACCTAGCTGCTCAGCGTGACTACGAGCTTCACTCCCTCGACTTCTCCACTGCCTTCCTTCAGGGCAGCCTACACGAGCAGGTCTACTTGCGTCGCCCTCAGGGCTTTACTGGCACCTTCCCTCCTGTGACCCAGTGGCTCCTGCGGCGCCCCATCTACGGCCTTCGCCAGGCTCCCCGTGAGTGGCACGACACGCTGCGTGCTACACTTGCTGACCTGCAGTTCTTTCCGTCTTCCGCAGACCCCTCACTCTTCGTTCGTGCTGGCCAGACTCCGTTCTACATCCTTGTTTACGTCGACGACCTGGTCTTTGCCACAGTAGACAGGGATGCACTAGCCTCAGTGAAGGCAAAGTTGCTGAAGAGACACACGTGCACTGACCTTGGAGAACTGCGCCATTACCTTGGCTTGCAGATCTCCAGGGACAGAGCAGCGCGCACCATCACCCTGACTCAGTCACACTTGGTGCGCCAGGTCCTTTAGAGGTTCGGCCTTCAGTTCTCCTCTGCACAGCCTACCCCTCTGCCTGTAGACCACAGACTCTCTGCTCCAGTTTCTGAGGAGTCGGTAGAGCCCAGCGGCCCCTACGCAGAGCTGGTGGGTTGCCTCATGTACCTGATGACTTGCACTCGCCCAGATCTCGCATACCCTCTCAGCATCCTGGCTCGCTTTGTGGCCACAGGCAGACACCGACCGCAGCACTGGTCTGCCGCTAAGAGGGTTTTGCGTTATCTTGCTAGTACATCAGGCATGGGGTTAGTGCTAGGAGGACGTGGGCCAGTGGTCCTTATCGGACACACAGACGCTTCTTCGGCAGACGACGTCGAGACACTCAGGTCTACCCAGGGCTACTGCTTCAGCCTTGGTTCAGGTGCCGTCTTGTGGAGAGCTACCCGCTCCTCGTCTGTTGCCCAGTCCAGCTGTGAGGCCGAGATCTACGGCGGTGCCATGGCGGCACAGGAGCTCTGCTGGCTGACCTTCTTGCTCACTGACTTAGGTGAGCGGCCTAGCTCTGCCCTGGTGCTGTTCGCTGACAACATGGCCATGATTCTCCTGTGTCAGGAGCCTCGACTCGAGGGCAGAGCGAAGCATATTCAGCTGCGGTACTTCCTCCTGCGCGAGCTACAGCAGCGCCGCTAGGCTCGCGTAGTACACCTGGCCTCCGGTGCCAACACAGCTGATATCTTTACGAAGGCGCTTGCGCCTAAAGATCATCAGCGGCACTGTGTACAACTTGGTCTAGTTCCTATAGCCTCTCACTTGCTAGGGCCTTGACTTTGTACTGTCCTTTATTTGTGTACTCAGACTGGACTTGTGTCCTCTCCCAGTGGCTGGACTAGTAGTGCCGCCCTGGTCTTGTTCTTGCCTTGTTTGTACTCCTTCTGACTGGTCTTTTAGATCCTTGTCTTAGAGGCTGGACTAGTAGTGCCGCCCTGAGCTGCTTGTTCAGGACCTGCCCCTATGCAGTCTAGGGGGTGTGTCAAACATGTGTATCTCCTATGTTTGCATAGACTATATAGGGCCACCTCTTAGAGAGTACAACACTTAGGTATATTCACCTGTACTCTCTCTCTACTCAATCATTCAGTTCTCACTTTGATACCAATATCAGTCAGGGGACCGACCCTGGCCCCAAAGAGCATTCTGCACACATATAGATACTCCCACAGTGCAAGAAAACCTCCTAAATACCTCCACTCTTTAGACATCAACCGTCCTTGACGGCAAGGACATATATATTTGGATTTCGAGTCAAAAGTCTTAGGGGGTGTAAAAAATAATCAGAAGTATATTACGGTTTGTTAAGGCATACACTATGTTTCAAAGGTTTATGGTTCGATAAATTGACGTAAAATCACCTGCTGTCAGTTTTTCAAGCTGCACAACTCGGGATGTTCTTCGGGGAGAGATTCCCATTGCCCTCAAATGGCATGCCCAAAGACAAGTCACGATATTAGAATGAGCCATTCTGCCTATAACCTAATCATAACATCCTCCCATCTTCTGTACAGTAAAGGATTCGTTCCTTCAAGAATCTCCACACCTTGGAGACTAGTGCAACTTGTCAACTTATACATATATTTATATGTAGAAGTTATAGGCTAGCAAGAGTTGTGCTCTTAGAGAGTACATCACAACCCATATATCTCTTGTACTCTCTCATTTCTAAACACATTCGTATCTTAACATGGTATCATAAGTAGGTAGGTCCACCCACCCGCTTTTGTCCCGCGCCCTAGCCTATTGTGCCCCGCTGGCTCACGCGCGCCCGCCAGCCCTAGCGCGTAGTAG